GGTACGGGCTAATTATTATTTATTTATTATTACATAGTATTCATTCATTGTATTTATTTATGATTATTTTTATTTATTTGTGTATGTATTTTACATTTATTCATTAATTTATTATTAGTTTTATTATTATTATTAACACCCTAACCCTACCAAAAAATAATAAATAAATAATAAGAAGACAATAAATTAAATATTAACCTATAACCCAAACTTAACCCCCAATACTAACTAACCTTAACCCCAACGTCTAATCCTAACTCTTGCCTAACCTTAACTCTAACCCCTTAACCCAACAAAAAAAAATAATAAATGAATAATGATAATATTAATAAAAAAAAGAAAGAAAAGCTGATGGAAAAGCTAACAAAGCTGAAAATCCTAGCAACAAATGATGCAATAGATGATATTTTAATGGCTAATAAAAAAAACAAAGCTCAAAAACACTGTATGAAAATGTACAACAACGCTTGACAAAACGCTAGAAAAACTCTCAAATTCGCTACACTCAAGTGTGAATTCAGCTTCAATATTACAAGCCATCTTAATGCCATCATTATTTTAATTTCATGTAAGGAATGGAATCATCATTAAAAGATATCCTGATTTCATCATCATTCACATTTCAGGCAAGGAGAGGAGCCATCATAACAGGGTGGCACGGTGCTATCATTGTCACAACCATGCACACAGGGAGAGGCGCGGTTCTCCATTTTGCTCCAAACGTCTGCATTTTGGTATTTCTCTTAAACTCATATGCAATCACCTGAGGGGGGGGGGGGTAGCAGTCGTGGACACTAGAGCCAGGCATGGCTCTCACTGTGTTAAGTCTTAATGTTATCCCCTCATTCCCCCTCCCTCAGGAATGCAATCAGTGTATGATGCTGAGCCCCTGCCTAACAGTCCTCTGCCCAAACAAGGCTTGACTTGTCCGTTGTAGGAAGATATCAGTTGATTTTGGGTAGAAAAAGAAGCTGTTATGCTTTGTGTGTAGACAGAGAAGTGAGGACCGTCTGCGTTTTAACATCTAGCAGACAGAGAGAAAGCAAAGTCTCCTGCGATGAACCAACGAAACTCGCAGTCGAGACCAGAAATCCCTTTTTAAGCTCAGCAGACTTGAAACTGCTTAACCCCAGGCATCTTTGTGGGCAAGTACTTATTTACCTAAACTTCTTTCTGTTATCTGTTTGCTGTGCTGTTGTGCTCTGTATGTTTTATATATATATATTGGTTGCATCTTTTTTCTGTAAATATTTCTACTGCACCCTTTTGACCTTTTAGTAATAAATCTTACTTTCTGAAAGTGTTGAACTGTTTCTATAGCCCTTTAATGTGACTTACGAATCCCTGCAGCTGAAAAACGCTACTATGAGTGTTTAACCCTCTGTATAACCTGTCTGTGGAGATAGCAGGATACCGACAATTAACCAATCATCCTAGTGTATTGCTGGAGTTTCCTCTTTCTTTGTACATAAAGGAGGTGGTGGCAGTGTGAAGAGTTAATTGCGTAACTAACCTGACCCAGTAGCAAACGCTCCCAGGCTGCAGGTACGTCGATTGTGGTCCAATTAGCTGGAAAATCGGTGTGCAGGGTGCAGCTGGGCGTGGCATTGTTACGCCCGTGACATCGCAGTGTTAGATTGGCTAGTCCTTCGGTCACGAGTTTGGTGAGAAGGTCAGGGGTCTGACGCCACGCCCGTCACAATCATGATTTTCTTTTTAGGTAAGAATAGGGTCACCATTACAAGCTGCTTTGATGCCATTATCATTTTCATTTCAGGTAAGGACATGAGTCATCCTTACAAGCTGCCTTTATATCTCCATCATCAGGATGATCTATATTGATGTCACTATCTTTCACGACTATGACATAAAAAGGAACTGCTCGGATATACCTGAACTTATTTAGTATTAAAATACTATTATTATCATCAAGTGTGTTGCTTCATATATACCAAAAGGACGTGGCTGAAGATTTATATATCATCCTGTCATTTTTAATTGCTCAAAACTGAAATTCTTGAAAGTACTGAAAGAGCTGGTATAGCACAGTAATTTGTCTTGTTTTATTTTTATCTTGAAACCTATAGAGCTACATAATATTTCTACACATGATAGAGAAATTGAATTCACTAGCAGTCATTTGAATTCAATTATCTGAAGGACATTAGCAAGCTGACAAAATTATTCAACTTGAAGAAAATCCATAAAAAAAAAAATACTCACAGATGAGAGGTATGGTTTAACGTTTCAAAGATCACTAACCTACTCTTAAAAAAATAAAAGACAAATAATACAGAAATGACTAACTGTTCTGTTTTAGGTAGAACCTATGTGCAAAACATACAAGATGCCATGGCAACATATGTACTAAGAAATCTAAATGCATGATGTGAAAGTGAGACAAAGTCCGTGGATGTGGGTAATTGAGTGTGATAATAACAGCTTGAAATCTTATCACTTTCTGTGATTTTACAGCGGAAAAAGAAATTGCATCAAAGTTGCCCTAGTCATTAAGCACTGACAAAAATGCAAAACTCTTCCTTTTTTCAGTGTATAAAGCTTTTAGACCGTAAACATGCAAAATTTTACAGCATTAATAGACAAGTGCATTCTAAGCAGCTGCAAAACTAGCATACAGAAAAGGAATATGACACAGCCCAGACTCCTACTGTCCTTTCTAAATCATGCACAAGTCTGATCACAGAAAATAATGACATTAGTCTCAAGAAGACACTAAGCTAATGGATGGCCATTATTTTTTATTGCAAGGTCCAGAGTGTGTGCAATGATCACACATAGTGCTAAGGAGAAAAATACTGCACTGGCCTTGGAAAGAATCTGTTATCTTAATGTTCTCTAGAATATAGGTACAATGGATGCTTTCATGTGCATTTTTCCCAAGAGGGGCAATTTTGCTTTTTAATATAAAGTGGAGCTTATATGTTAAAGAACAAATGCACCTTTGTTGTCAAAATCAGTGCTGTAAAGGGCCTAATACATATTAAAACAGCAATATACACTCACCGGCCACTTTATTAGGTACACCTTGCTAGTACCGGGTTAGACCTCCTTTTGCCTTCAGAACTGCCTTAATTCTTTGTGGCATAAATTCAACAAGGTGTTGGAAACATTCCTCTGAGATTTTGGTCCATATTGACACAAGCTACTGTTGCCTCTCTATCATCTTCGATCCAGTCTGTCCATTATCCTCTGACCTCTAACATCAACAAGGCATTTTCACCCACACAACAGCCTTTCACTTTTTCAGACCATTCTCTGTAAGCCCTAGAGATGGTTGTGTGTGAAAATCCCAGTAGATCAGCAGTTGTTTAAATAATCAGATAAGCATGTCTGGCAACAACCATGTTACGTTCAAAATCACTTACATCCCCTTTCTTCCCCATTCTAATGCTTAGCTTGAACTGCAGCAAGTCGTCGTCACCATGTCTAGATGCCTAAATGCATTGAGTTTCTGCCATGTGATTGGCTGATTAGTAATTTCTGTTACCAAGCAATTAAACAGATCTACCTAATAAAGTGGCCGGTGAGTGTAAATGCTATTCATTTTTTTTCACATAAATTAAAATTCAACACCCATGCTGGCCAACAACACCCCCCACCTTCCTCCTCGAAATAGAGTACCAAACATCTATATAACATGGGGGAACGCCACCATCTTGGTTACTCCCATTCTCCTGGCCCGAGGCCCACCTTCAGAAATAAAGGAATGTCCACAAGTTCAGCCTTTTTAAAGTTTTACTGTAGCATTAACAGATTATACAGTTCTTTGCCAAAACAAAACTTTGCTTATGCCTCTTTACCCCAACATCAGTAACGATGCACATTTCAAGTGCAAATTTATTGTAGGGTTGCCAATCACCCTTTCAGTTCCCTCACTGTGGGTCCTTTTAGGTGGGTTCTCCACTGGAGCTTATACTGGGCCTACCCCAAAGGGTTCATTTCCTGAAGCTACACGCTTTCATGGTAATATACTGAGCGTAGCCTCTTCCCATCAACCTCTGCCCCAAGCTCTTCAGACCCTAAAAGTGGTACTAACCTCTGCTTACATACCTAATTTGACTCCGTTGGATGAGGAAAGTCATTCCCTTTCACACTCCTGCCTAACTGTTGGACTATTGGTGGAAATGCTGGGGAGAATTAGTAGCATTCAAGCACCCAGTATTCAAGCCAGTATCTGCCATTACACACTTTGAACCAGAATCATAATTTTAGTGTCAATTTAAACAAGGCACATTATAGCATAAAATGTATACTTTTCTACTTACAGTAAAACCACTTTTTGGTAAAAACATTCAAAAAAGTATTTTATTTTTTTTTTTGCAATTTTTGTCTATAGGTTACATAGAAAATAAAATTGTTCTTGTAAGACAATATTGCCAAAAGAAAACTTAGTTGGTAATCTGAAAAAATAATATATGTATTACTTTGTCTGAAGAGGTTAAATTAGTTAGACCACAGGAAATCTTATTTTATATGGAAAAAAGCATAGCATTTATGTCACAGATTTATTAAGTAGGCTAGGCTTATTACAATGCTAATATACAAAGTAAAATCATGGTTCAATGCACTTTAACCACCTGCCGCCCGCCATATAGTACAATTACGGGCGCAAGGTGGGTCTCTCATTCTGGGACGACGTCACACGACGTTGTCCCATTCTAACCCTGCGTGCGCGGCTCTGGGAGTGTGCAGCACGGCGATCGGTGGTGCGCTGTGTCCCTCAGACACAGCGGATCACCGATCAACAGAAAGAGACGAAGATTTCAGCTCGGTCATGTGATCAGCTGTGTCCAATCACAGCTAATCACATGTAAATAAGGAAATGCCGGTTATAGGCGTTTTCTCTCCTCACGAGCTGTCACGCTGACAGCCCGAGAGGACAGGAGAGCCGGTAATCAGCATCCCTCAGAGGGGACATCTACACTGATCATCAGGGCACTGATGATCAGTGTGCCCTGATGATCAGTGTAGCCCCAGCCATGCCACCTGTCAGTGTCCATCAGTGCCAGCTGTCAGTGCTCATCTATGCCACCTGCCAGTGCCCATCAGTGCCACATCAATGCCACATATCAGTGCATACCAGTGCACATCAATGCCACATATCAGTGCCCATCTGAGCTGCCTTTCAGTGTCACCCATCAGTGCCAGTCAGTGCCACCTATCAATGCCAGTCAGTGCCACCTATCAGTGCCTACCAGTGCACATCAATGCCACATATCAGTGCCCATCTGAGCTGCCTTTCAGTGTCACCCATCAGTGCCAGTCAGTGACACCTATCAATGGCAGTCAGTGCCACCTATCAGTGCTGCCAATCAGTGCCACCTATCAGTGCCAGTCAGTGCCGCCTATCAGTGCCAATCAGTGCCTGCCTATCAGTGCCCGTCAGTGCTGCCTATCAGTGCCGCATAACAGTGCCAGTCAGTGCCACCTAACAGTGCCAGTCAGTGCCGCCTATCAGTGCCAGTCAGTGCCACCTATCAGTGCCGCCTATCAGTGCCATATATGAGTGCTGCCTTTCAGTGCCCATCAGTGATGCCTGTCAATGCCCATCAGTGCCAACTACCAGTGCCTCCTCATCAGTGCCCATCAGTGCCACCTATCAGTGTCCATCAGTGCAGCCTATCAGTGCCCATCACTGTGCAACCTCATTAGCGCACATCAGTGAAGGAGAAAAATCACTTATTTACAAAATTGTATAACAAAAACTAAGAAAAAACTTTTTTTTTTTTTCAAAATTTTCAGTGGTTTTTGGTTTGTTTAAGAAAAAATAAAAATCCCAGAGGTGATTAAATACCAGCAAAATAAAGCTCTATCTATCACAAAAAAATTATACAAATTTCATATGGGTACAGTGTTTCATGACCGCGCAATTTTCATTCAAAGTGTGACAGCGATGAAAGCTGAAAATTGGCCTGGGCAGGAAGGGGGTATAAGTGCCCCGGTAGGCAAGTGGTTAAATAGATTGTTTAAGCCAAGCTGACCTAAATGAACCTTTTTGATTACTAAATGATTCACCTACTGTGCGTGCTGTAATATACAGTACTGTAGTATCGTTAGCTACATACAGTATGCAGCACTGTGTTCCACCAGTACAGACAGCCACACTGCTAAGTAATAGAATTAATTCATTTTCAGCAGCTTGGCCTGCACAAATTTAAAAGAAAAGTATGGGGTAAAAAAAAGCATTATAGTCACCTAGGTAGATGCAGCATCAATGCACTGGCTCTGCACAGCGAACTGAGAGATCAAAGACCGCAATCGCTCAGTTCCCTCCCTCTGCCCTGAGCAGAGAGCTATGACTGTCTGTCTCATTGGAGCGCTGGGCTATGGAGGTAGGGAGGGACTGGCTCCTGCTCTCAGTGGATTGCTGAGTGAATGAACCAGGTGCCAGTCCAGGCTTCTGGGTGGATGCCGACCATATGGTCTGGATCTTTTCATAACATGGACCGGCTCTGTGACATCAGCCAACAGCGGACTTCAGGAGTGCAAAACGAACTGTACTGCAGTGATCCGTAGGAGAAGTATAGCCAAAAAAGCTTTGGCTATAACTATCCTTTAAAGTGCATTGAAACCTGGATTTTTTCTTTAAAACAAAGGTGCAGTTGTTTTTTAAATAGTAACTCCATTTTTGTTCAAAAAAGAACAATCCCCTCTGGGTGACCAAACTCTGTAGCAGATTCCTACCTATTGTTGCTCTGAAGTTTTGCTCTGAGTTTGTTTCACCATGTTCATGTTCTTTGAATACTGATTCTGAAGGAAGGATCTGGTTCATTATAATTAATTGGTTTATTCACAGTTTTCTAATGAGGAAAGCTGTAGAGTCTCCAAGCCTTTAGAAGTGTATAACCTTGGAGAGTATCTCACCAAATCTGAAATTTCTATTGCAGGGGGTACCTAGAATTTGACTTTGGCATATTTTGCAGACCTCTGGGAAAATCAGTGATCCAATCACATAAGCAGGAACTGACATTTCTGGGGGCGTTCTCTACACCAGCTGTGTACAGAAGGCCTCCAGGTTGCCATACTGCATTGAATTTTATTGAAAATTACATTGACTATGGATTGAAAAGGAAGGGTAATTTTTAATAGCATTAAATTACAATATGGCTTGGACTATATTTTTTTTTTGTTTGCTTTATTTTTATCTAAGTAGGTGGAGTTACCCTTTTAAAGCAGGATTTCACTCTCTTAATCAACACTGACTATCATGAATCCATACGTTGCACGCATTAGTAAATAGATAGGAAAGTATGTCATATTTACTTGTTTTACACTTTGTTTTACATTTATTCAGTTACTTCCTGGTTTCCATGTCTAGGCAAATGATGTCATACATCCCAGGAGTCTTCAGGTGGGGAGGAAGGTTTGTCTCAGCTAAGCACACCCTCCCACTTGCGTGCCTGAGCTAAGAGCAGATGGATTCCAGGAAGTAAATGCTACATGGATCATCTGACCTTACTTAAGATGGCCACTGCCAGAAATGCTAGGGGGAAATGCTAGCTTTAAATTGCAGTAATATTTAAAAGATCCTACACACTATACATTGTGTTCCCTCACCTGCATTACTGTGTTTTGGTGCACTGCATTAAGGAAGCCCATTTATTTTGAATGAGCTAGCAGCACACCTTAAAGCAGTAGTAAACAGCAACCTGCAAAAAAAAAAAAAAACAAATCCCCTGCAAAATAATATCATAATGTGCTAGTATGCATCGCATACTAGCACATTGTGAAGGACTTACTGTACAATGAAGCCCTCCAGCGCTGCAGAGGCTTCCATCTTCACTTGGTCTTCCTTCCTGGTTTGCGAGCTTCGGCCACCTGACTGGCATACGCATGGGAGTCGCGGACCACGGAACAGTGCTCTGACGGAACATCACGGGGTATGTCGTTCCTTCAGAATCCATGTGCCAGCTGTAAAAGAAAAGAGAATATCCCCTAAACTGTGCTTTAATATATATGTACTTTAATATATCCCCTAATATTAATTAATTTTACCTACAGGTAAGTTTTATCATAAGCTTGCCTATAGGTAAAAGATACAAAAGTGGGTTTACTTCAACTTTAACACATGAAATATTGAATTTGACCCTGCTTTCTAATACAGCAACCCACAATGAAAGGCTTGTTCCCAGCGGTGCCCAGCAATGCAAGTGCATTTCCCACTCTTGTAGTAGTAGTCCTTTGGGCTGCCATTAAAAAAAAATGGCGCAGCAATGAATAAGTGGGAATGGTCACAAAAGGAAAATAATACAGTACTAATTATTTGATTTATCAGTCACCAATATATGTAAAAGTTTTTTGAAAAATGTTAATTCTGTCACAAACAACATTTTTGAGACAAAATCTCACCTTGCATTTTCCCAATGCAGATATATGAAAATATGTTTTGTGACACTAGTTTTAAAAAGGACAAGGAGAGCAGGTTTAACCTGTATGGGTATATGATCATGAAAATTGTTTCACCGATTATCTATTGTATTATTTATGTGTACTAATTTGTATTTTTCTAGTTATGGCTATTGAGTTGTAGCCAGGGGCAGACTAACAACTCATGGGGCCCCCCGGGCAATAGGGGATCATGGGGCCCCTGTGTCCTCGCCCACACCTAAAAAAGCCTATGAAATAGCCAATGAAAGGTACCAGGGGCATCTCATGGGGCCCCCTACTGACCCCGGGCCCTCGGGCAGTGCACGAGTGCTGGATTGGTCAGTCCGCCCCTGATTGTAGCTATTGTTTTCCTTTAAAGGGACTGTAGGGAAAACATGGGAAAGTATCTTTGCACTCACTGTTGGGCTTGAAATCAATGAGATGTTTATGTGCGAAAATGTAAAAAAATTTAAATGGCAAATCAGAGACAAAAAGTGCCATTAACCCTTTCATATCCCGGAATAATTAAAACCATTGTGACCAGACAAAATGTTGAGGTTTTGGCACGCAGCTGTTTACAACCATATTTTAACCACTGTGAATACTAAAATGATTTTCACATGGCTTTTTTTTGTTAGCACATATGGGGCCTTCAATTAATACTTTTTTAACAATACCCTGAATGTATTTTTTTATAACAAGAAGAGAAGTGGATAACAATGAAAAGAAATAAAATGGTTTATTAAATGTGTGATGTATTTTGTATGAATAATACTACTCCAGATATTTTCACTTAATGAGTTTTTCCTGTTTATTACAAGTTAGGGAGCCCAAATATGTACAGGTTTTGATTAACACATCAGAGATGTATGGTCAATAAACAAGTCTGTATATTATAGGTTTACAGAGATCAGACATTTTCCAGTGAAATGAATGTAATTTACTGACCAACCTAAGAGAACTTAATATAAAGTAAGGCTTTTGTGAGCAGGTTAAATAGAAAAGATTATACTGTGTTGACCTAATAAATAACAAATATTTCCAGGATCCAAATTATGTGTCCTTGTGAAATTGTGAGAAGCGAAGATATCCAAAACTGTAAGGAGGCAGCACTTTAAAACTCCTTACAGCACATAGCTTTAGAGTTAAAGCGGAACTACACTGCATCTGAGCACCACAAACCAAAAGCCCTATATAAATTACCTTTAATATTCAAAGCAAACGCACTCATCCATCCATGTCTCCATGCTTTATTCTGCTGAGAAATAACTTTGAAAGAAACCCTAGCATTTCTGGGCAGATGATTCATGTAGCATTTACTTCCTGGAATCCATCTGCTCTTAGCTCAGGCATGTAGATAGAAGGGTGTGTTTAGCTGAGAAAACCCCTCCTACCCTGCTGAAGACTCCTGGGATGTATGACATCATTTGCCTAGGCATGGAAAATAGGAAGTAACTAAAGAAATGTAAAAAAAACGGTTTAAAACAAGTAAATATAATATACTTTCCTATCTATTTACTAATGATAGCAGCATAAGGATTCAAAAAGAGAGCCTTAACATTATTTTTCTATCTTTGGAGTGCACTGGGATATTTAATACATAATAGGAATTTATATACTTATGTAAGTCTGGAATAGGTATGTGTATTTTTATTACTGTTATACTGTATTTACGATTTATATTGCACCAACAGTATGCACAATGCTTTACAATTAGAAGGAGACAGTACAGGTTCAATACAATACAATGCAAGAGGGTTCAGAGGGCACTGCTCAAGAGAACTTCAACCTTGTATGTACACGTATGTATGTACTGTATGTGTGTGTGTGTGTGGGTATGGGGAGAGGGGTCTTTTTGTATGTTTATATTAATTATTTTTTAACAGTTTCTTTTTTTATGCATTTTCTCAAAGCTGCCGTTCCGTCTCAGCAGGAAGAGATTGGGGATTGAATGTTCCCAGATTTCCTCCACTCGCAACAGTTTTCATCCTCTCACTTCCTTGTCATAA